TCCCTGATCTTAAAACTGCATTTGTTTGTGAGATGCCCCTGGCCTGTGTTCTCATTGTACTTAGATCATATCCCAGTTATAATCTTATTATATTATTATTATTAATGCTTTTTTAAAAGTTTTACTATTCATCACTAGAGTATAAATTCTTTGTAGACTAGCAAAGCTCTCTTGTTAACAATTATAGCCCTAATGTCTACCACTTTGTATAGTTAGTACTTTGTAAGCGCTCAGTAATTGTTCATTGAACGTAAGAATGAAGGGTGTATGTGAAAGGTGAAGTTAGATAAATCTAATGATGCTTAGATCCTAGGAAAGGGCCTATGGTTCATGTTTCTGAGACAAAGTTATTTAGGCAGTTCGTTTAGCCATTTCACATGACCAGTGTGTTAATGTCTAAATTTGGTTTACTTGTTTTGTGTCATTGTCTTTAAAACCAAACTTTTCAATAAAACCAAACCAAACAAAAAATACACCCCCAGCAGTTTGTATTTCAGCTCCCCACCCCCCACCAGATAACTTTTTAAAAAATATTTTATGTTTGTGGGTGCAGAGTAAGTATGTATATTAAGGGTATGTGAGAGATTTTGATGCAGTCTTACAATATATAAGAATCACATCAGAGTAAATGGGATATCCATCACCTCAAGCATTTATCATTTCTTTGTGTTACAAATGTTCCCATTATACACTTTTACTTTTAAATGTACAATAAATTGTTGGCTGTAGTCACACTGTTGAACTATCAAATACTAGATCTTATTCAATATATCTAATTGTACAAAATAACCTTAAGTTTGAATTGTAGAGGCGTTTTCACAGTAGCAACCAGTTGGTACGGACTCCACCACTGACAATAGCTGTAGGTCACACTCATGGTTTCTGAGTGACAGCCACACACAGTAGATACTAATGTTCGCACCTCATTCATCTTCAAATGTGAAGGACTCCAGTGACACTCACATTTAGTCCTTGGGTCTTTGGTAGTAAAGATGAATCTTTTCATCCCCAGGACCTTGTCTTTTTGTTTGTTTGGTATATGGAATGAAATGACTCAAGTGCCTTTCTTCAGTTATTTAAGTTGTATAATATTGTCATATCACCCATAGAATACTATTGGGCATCTTGGAATAGTATCTTTATCATCATCCAGTTGACGATGCTTCTTCCAGTTTTGTTTCCTGTTGCTTTCACCCCATCACTGTCATTAATTGCACTAAAATAATAATTCTCTATTCTGTGCCCTGACATACTGTTTTATTACTATTATTTGGAAGGTCTTGTTACTACACATTAAAGAACAATTCTACCGTATGTGAATTATTTAAACTTTAAAAGCATAGTCATTCTTACTCATTTCCATTCTGATCTTCGTATAGCAGATAAAGATGGAATTATAGCTAACCCAGTGATGAGAAATTGGTGGTAAACAGTGCCATATACCTTTTACTCTCTCCCTGCCCATTTGGACCTCCATAATTATTAATAGTTATAATGTGCTTTCACAATGCAACCTACTGTCCAGTCTCAGAAGAGGGAGTACTTCAGATCATTACTGCTTGTCAGGTTTAGTACTCAAGATCCCAGTACTAGCTTTCCTTGTGTAATTCCCACTTGTCGTCCATTTTGCACAAAATATCTGTTTACATATATGTGCCCTGAGGTTTGTCTACACATAGTTATTTCTGAGCTCATATTTTGGGTGCTCTTTATTCCTCTTCCATACTGTTCTTTGTGGTGTCTACTAAACAACATTTGTAACAATGTGGTAACAGTTAACATTTCTGGGTGGTTGTCATGATGTAGCAGGTACTGTGTTAAGTGCCGGTATTATTTCATGGAATTCTTGTACTAACACCAAGGGTTGGGGCCCATTGTTCTTCTCATTTTATAGATAGAGAAACTAGGGCAAGGCTAAATAATTGGTAAATGGCAGAGTCTGGATTTCAATCAAGGCCACCTGAGTTCTGAGCCCAAATTGTTAACCTCTGAGGTAGTCCTTAAAGAAAGTTGGGTTAAAACCAAACTGATTGATAGTGAAAATGCTGCTTTTGCCTGTGTTGACACTAGACTAGAATAACCCCCCCCACCTTTTTTTTTATGTTTTCCCAGATTCCAAATCAACTTGGCATAACCTTTCAAGTCTCTAAGAAATTTATAGTTTTTTATCTATTAAAAAAACCTTCTGGTAGACTTCATAAATATGACTTAGATTTTTATTAAACTCTTTTGCATGTATCTTTCTGTATCTCAGAAAACCTTTAATTTTTGAGACAGTAGCTATGTGTGTAGGCTGTCTTATACGTTCACAGATGGCATTATTTTATCAGTCCTCAAACCATCTGTAGCATCAACTTAGTCTATTTCAATTGGTGTCATCTTTCATTTATGCAGGAGTGAGTTATTAAAGTAAAACTTTATATTTGTGTAGCATTTTGGGCAAATGTTAGAGTAAAACATTGGTTTATTTTATCACAACAATCCTTTGCAAAGAAAATTAGTTTTTCCAGCTCATCTTGATTTATTTTATATGTAGTCTTCAGAATGAAATTGAATTGAATAACTGTTTACTGAGCACAAATTGTTATCCTGAAATGTAGGGATAAGAAATGACTGCTGTCCTCACTGAATTTACAGCCTTAGAGGAAAAACAGTGAAGTAGTAAATTCCAATTGAAGAAGAAATACGATTATGATTACCATTATGAAAAAAGACGATAGCATGGGAAATGATGGTAAAGGGATTAAGTGTGGTCTAGTGAGCCTGTAAAGGCCTTTCAGGGGAAGAATGGGTATGAGTTCACCAAACGGAGTGTAGCTGATGGGCAGTAGGGAAGAAGAAAAGAATCTTCTAGGCAAAGTGAGCAGCAAATGAGAAAGCCTCCATGTCAGAGAGCTTGGAGTAACTAAGTCATTGAAAGATACGCAGTCTGACTGGAACTTAAGAGTAGGAGGAAGAGAGTGACACATGATCTTAAGGGAGACCCTAGAGTAAACAGGCATCAGTTGTTTTGTAAGACAATTAAAGATTCTGGATTTGAACCTAAGATGAATGGCAAGTCACGGGTGAGCTTAAAGTAGAGGTATGACATGAACAGATTTGGGCTTTAGGAAATCCACTTGGGCTGCAGTGTGGAGAATGAATTGGAAAAAGGGACAGAAGTGGGGAGGAAAGTTAGGAGGCTGTTCCCACATGATTTTGACTTAGACTATAGTAGTGGCAGGAGAGTTAGAGAGAGGTAGATGGATTACAGAGGCCACCCTGCTGAGAATGGAAGAGCCAGCCTTTGTGTGTACAAAGTTCTGTCTTGTTCTACTACGTCGTACTAACAAATGGTCTTTCTGCATACAAGAGTATGAGCCAGAGAAAAATGGGAACAAAAAGGAGGCCTGAAGTTAGTATAGAAGCTCTGTATTATGAAAATGCATGACCTCACAGGTAGTTACAAGGATAATAAAGACAAAAGCACTCAACTAATTGGAAAGTCCTCAGTTTAATTGTAATCTAGGCAGGAACCTGATCTCAGATTTGCTCTTCATATCAAATTTGCTCTTCACCTCAGATTTGCTCTTCATATTCTGTGTGTGTCAACAGAATTTTGAGAGACAGTCCTGTTTATTCAGTGGTTAATGCCTCCTTCCCCCCGCCCAAACATCAGTTCATTCTTTCATCCACTTCCTTATGTATTCATTCATTCATTTACAAACACTTCAAATCCTTACTGAGAGCCTACTACTCACCAGACATGTTTACTTATCTTAGTTTTTAATACTACATGTGGCCATTATACCTAGTGTGGGCCTTTGATGTTTATAGGTACTTCATGGACCACTTCTCATTTAGGATACGTTTAGTCCATCAGGTTTCCATTTTAAGTTGGCTCATCACTTAAGGTGTAGCCGTTGGGAAAATCCTGCAACCCTAATCTCATACGTATCTGAATGTCACATTCTCTGCACTGTCTGTTGCTACTCCTCAATCTTTGGTCAGGGTCAGTATGTCTAATTCCATTTCATTCAAACAGTTGATCAGTTCAGCCATTACCACCACCACTAAGTAGTCTTGTTGGTCGTTGTTGATCTATTATATTAGCCAAGGTAATGAAAGCTATCAGCAAACAAACAAATTCACCATCTAAGTGGTTTAAATACATTAGAAGTTTATTTCTTGCTAATCTAAGTTCAATTGGTAGCAGATTGGGGAAAGGTGGATTTTCTGCTCCACTGTGGACTCAGGCTGATGGAGTCACCATGAGGCTCACAGGCTTGCCTAGCCGGCAAAGGGGGTTAGGTGAATGTGAAAGCTTATTCAGGAAGTTTTTATGGGTCGGGACTAGAGGTGGCTTACTTCATTCCCACCCATGCTTCATAACTCAGGTAAATGGCCATACTTAACTGCAGGGAAGACTGGGAAATGTAGTCTGTGTGTTTGCCTGGTGAGCCTGTCTTTGTCAAACCCAGCTGGTGAATTTCCTTGTACAATACCAGCTGTTTGATTAGATAATAATAAGAGGCATTGAAGGACCAGATATATTGTTGTAGGACTTTTTCCTTAGTTCAGCTAAAGACAGCAGGGTTGAGGGAAGGTGGTCCTTGTCACATAGCCATTTAAAATTAGACTCGCAGACAATTTGAAGGAGGAGAAAAATGGAATTTATTGGGCAAAAAGGAATAAAAAGGGAAACAGGGACCCTCTGCCAAGACAGAGCGAGAATCCTACCAGTACGCTTCCCACCTCAGACTGTAATCCCAGGTTCCACTCAGGAGGAGGAGGGGCCAGGCTCCTGCCTGTTGCCAAAGGCATGAACTTCTATGGCTCCACCCCCTTGGAGTTTTGCCAGGAAGCCCTTCCCACCTGACAGCCTCAGTATGAAGGAGTTTCCTTTGTGCCTAGTAAGTGGCTGTGTCACAGTCCTGGGCATTAGAGTGGGAAATGGTGGGAAATGTCTGCATTCTGAATTCCTAACGTATCTGTTAATTGCTATTACTCTTTTCTCACAGGGAAATAAATGCCCGACTTGATGCCGTATCTGAAGTTCTCCATTCAGAATCTAGCGTGTTTGGTCAGATAGAAAATCATCTACATAAATTGCCTGACATAGAGAGAGGACTCTGTAGCATTTATCACAAAAAAGTAAGTGTGATAGAAATCTGTTAAAGCTGACAGTGTTCTTCAGCTTGAGGACGCTTCATATTAAAGGAAAACTTCTGAGAGTAGCTGAATCTTCAGAAATTTTAATAGTACAAATTAAGAGTTATTCCAATTTTTCCATTCTAAAAAGTAAAGTTTTCTCACATGTATTAACTACATTAACACAGAGGCCCTTCTGTTATAATACAGAATATTCTCCTGTTTTATCCTGAAAGTACAGACTGTTATCAAAATTGGAAATTTATGTAGAATTGTTATTTTAGAAAAGAAATACCTTATCTCTTTTGATGTTAGAACAACTTATTATTTGACTTAAATTAAGGAAAAATCTGCTGGTATAACATCTGTTGTGGTAATTAGTATGCAAACAAGCTTGGATATTGAAGGTGAGCGCTTCAGCTTTACAGTTTGAGTCATAGCAAAAACGAGTCATTTTCCACTGTTAGGGAAATAATTTAGGTTATCTTCAAAATATGCCTAAAATTAAAAAAATTATTAATATTTTTTATATGATAAACACTAGAAACTCTTACATACCTTATACTATTTGTTCCTTGTCAAAACTTTATGACATTGAGAAGTTACTATTTTTATTACCTTCTTAGTAATGGGAAATTATATCTAATGCTATAAATGTGTTTGTATATATATATAGTATATATGAAATACATGTAATGTGTATGGCCAGGCACGGTGCCTCATGCCTGTAATGCCAGCACTTTTGGAGTCCAAGGTGGGTGAATCACCTGAGGTCAGGAGTTCGAGACCAGCCTGGCCAACATGGTGAAACCCCATCTCTACTAAAAATACAAAAAATTAGCTGGGTGTGGTGGTGGGCAGCTGTAATCCCAGCTACTCTGGGGGCTGAGGCAGGAGAATCACTTGAACCCAGGAGGC